GGGGGGGGGGGGGGGCTGGGGACCAGGGAAGGCTAAATATAAGCAGATTAAACTTCAGCTTGAAGTGCACTTGAATTGTACTGCTGCATTTACACGACTTACTAACAGCTAAACACAACGGCCACTATTCCTTACTCTTGCTGTTAGACCTTTCTGTTGCTTTTGACACTGTGGGCCACCTGCCCCTTCTCAAAAAACTCCACTCGCTTGGCCTACAAGACTCTGCTCTCTCGTGGTTCTCCTCCTACGTATCTACCTACCTTGGACCCCTCCTCTTCTCTATCTACACCACCTCTCTTGGTCAGTTAATAACCTCACATGGCTTCCAATACCATCTCTATGCCGATGACACTCAAATATATCTCTCCACTCCACAACTCACCCCCTCTGTGTCCTCTCGTATCACTAATCTACTAACTGACATATCAGTCTGGATGTCACAACATTTCTTAAAACTCAATCTGTCAAAAACTGAGCTCTTGATATTTCCTCCTGCCTGTGCACCTTCCCCCAACTTTTCCCTTGAGACTGATAACACAACTATCCAGCTCTCCCCCCATGCCAAGGTCCTAGGTGTCATCCTTGACTCGGACCTCACCTTTCTTCCCCACATCCAATCACTATCCAAATCCTGCCGCCTTCACCTTTGTAACATCTCCAAAATACGCCCCTTCCTCACCAATGACACCGCAAAACTACTCATCCACTCCCTTGTTATCTCTCGTCTTGACTATTGCAACTCCCTCCTCATCGGCCTACCACTACACAGGCTATCCCCCCTTCAGTCCATCATGAATGCAGCTGCCAGACTCATTCACCTTACCAACCGCTCAGTGTCTGCATCCCCTCTCTGCCAATCCCTCCACTGGCTTCCACTCGCCCAGAGGATAAAATTCAAAATATTAACAACCACTTACAAAGCCATCCACAACTCCGCCCCCGGCTATATCTCAAACCTGGTCTCAAAGTATCACCCTAAACGTCCCCTCCGCTCTTCAAAAGACCTCCTGCTTTCCAGCTCCCTCGTCAACTCCTCCCATGCTCGCCTCCAAGACTTCACTAGAGTCTCTCCCATCCTCATGAACTCTCTACCCCAAACGGTCCGTCTATCTCCCACACTGACTGCCTTTAGGCGATCCCTTAAGACTCATCTCTTCAGGGAAGCCTATCCCACCTCAACTTAACCACTGAACAATTCAATTGTTCTCAAACAATTCTTCCCCACACAGCTACCTCCTCATGTATCACTTGCCCCTCCCTTTATATTGTAAGCCCTCAGGGGCAGGGCCCTCCTTACCATCTTGTCTTGATTTGTATTGTGATTGTAATGCGCTGCGCAAACTGTTGGCGCTATATAAATCCTGTATGGTAAGAATAATTATAATAATATTTAGTTATTGCTAGTCTACAACACCTTATAAACTGCACAGGGCAGCATGTAGCCGAGAGTGTTGTCACAAATACCCTTAAAATAAACATAAAGTGATATGCATAGGTCTGTAGTAATGAAGACCACGTAAAAAGTATGTAGATTGGAGTTTCTTGCAATTCTATACATTCTATACTTTTGCCTCCTAGACACATCAATTTGGTTTGACTCAAGAATGTCTGCAGGGGATCCTGATGGCGTTAAACCAAAATCAATGTCGCGGGCAAAGCATTGGTCAGATGAGATTGAAAATTTGTACAGATTCCAAACAGCGGGCTATAGAGACGAAATGGAATACAGGCGCATACAGCAAGTAGAGATGGTAGGTGCTTTCCATGCAGCTGCAGCAACATAAAGCCAGCCACACATACTTTTATGCATGATTCTTTTTTTTCTGATTGATTCTACACTCTGTATGGTCTATCGTATATGGGCCCCTGAAACCTTGCAATGTATATCTGGAGTATTTGCCCCGTCCTGGTGCTGTGTACAGCTGCCCATAGACATGAATGGCTGTGCCTGGCTGCACTTGGGTCTACACAGGTATTCGTGTAACCACTCATATAGCATTGGAGCGTATTCCCAGAATAGAAAATGTTCATTCTTGGAATATGCCAGCATGCTATACGATTGTTTACCATGGTAGCATTGTATACCAGCGTACAGCGTTTTTTTATATTTGTGGCAGGCTGTACGCAGCACCTAGGATTCCTGTGTGGGGGAAATACACCGGAATTTACATTGCATGAACTCAGGCACCCATGTGCAAGCGGCCTATTTTGTAAATTGATCCCTCCTAAATTTTCTGAAAGAATGGCATGATGATAACATACAGTGGGGGGAATTTATCAACGCAATTGCGACACTTTTAGCCTTTTAGATCATTTTTTTAAATGTGCAAATCTGTCTTTTAACATGTGCCTCTGTCTTGACCAGAACTTGCACTACTTTTCCAACTGCACGTGTTTTGTACCTGTCTTGACCAGAGCTTGCACTACTTTTTTATCTGCATGTTTTTTGCACGTGTTTTCATCTGCACTTGTGCTGGGCTGTATGAAACTGGAGCATCACCTAAGAAAACAATCACAACTTAAGAAGTCCCTATGACCACTTCTTCAAGAAGTGACAGTAAGACTGGGTTCACACCTGGGCGTTTCTAATAGGCGCGTTTTATGCAGGTTTTTAAGCAGGTTTTTCTCTAATGAAACGCGCGTTCAACGCTCGTTTTTTAACTTCCCTGGCGGTATGATTTTGATGATGTTTTTCGTTTTTTTTTTAAACTTCCTGCCAATTCCGCCCCCCTGCGACGCGGACGCTCGCAAGGGGCGGAACCCGGAATCGGCCGGAGGACACAGCAGGGATCGCGGACAAGGTAAGACCTACGCTGTACGCTGAGTGTGGCTCGGGGTTACCGCTTTGTTAACCCCGAGCCACACTCGGGAATACCAATGGATACGCGCTGAAATCTGCCCCTACGCGTGGAAAAGGAGCTCAAGTACTTTTTCGTGTGTAGGGCGGTTTTCAGTGCGACAAAACGGGCTGAAATACGCCCAGGTGGGAACAATGCCCATAGGGATTCATAGGGTTTCACTTCTTGAGCGTTGATCAGCCCTGAAAAACGCCTAGGTGTGAACCCAGCCTTAAGCTTTTTGCCTGGAGTTACAAGTCTTCTTTCCTGGAGTCTATTAAACCTCATTTATCAACAACATTAGACTAGCTTCATAAATCTGGTGCAAATATGTTCCGGAAAGTTCAAACATTTGGAATTGCTATGATAAATTCCCCCCATTGTATAACTCCAATTATACAATGACAGCAGGCAGTCTTATTGCTGTGTACATTTGGATATGAATAGAAGATAGAAGAGCCACAACAATATTTTCCAGTTATTTTGCTCAGTTTCTCAAAATAGATTCATCTTTACAATTCTATCTACTTTTATTCACAAAAGGGTGAAGAGTTTGGAGAAGGCAGGAGAAGGGAACAATCTAGGACAAGATAGCTGATTTGGAAAAATTCTCCAATTCATCTCACTTTCCAGTACAGCTATGTTGTCCTAGATTGTTCACTCCTCCGGCCTTCTCCAAACTCTTCACCCTCTTGTGAATAACCCAGCTAGTTGCTTCATACAATTAAATGCCAGATTTTTGACATTTGTAACTTCCTAGTCACCTGTAGACGGTGTAAAAGCATGAAAATTAGGGCGCTAGATAGGGGGAACTGTATTGTTTAGAGCAGTGTTTTTCAACCTTTTTTGTGCAAAGGCACACTTTTTTCATGAAAAAAATCACGAGGAACACCACCATTAGAAAATGTTAAAAACATTTACCTCTGTGCCTATATTGACTATATATAAAGTAATTCTCTTGAATAGGAATCAAATAAACACAAAGAAATTATTTTATAATTACTTTATTATGAAATAATAAAGTATTTTATAATTGTTCATATTTCTGTTCAATCCATGACTAAATACTGTACATGCTATTTCAAGGCAGCAGAATAAATACCGAATGATTTTGACCTCGCTATACAATATAAGCAGTGTAAGGAATCATGATCATGGCACATACTGCACGTGATACAGGTCTGTACTTTGATCAATGGATACCCTCCTCATGTATCACTTACCCCTCCTCTTTTAGATTGTAAGCCCCCAGGGGCCGGGCCCTCCTTACCATCTTGTCTTGAATTGTATTGTGATTGTAATGTCTTCCTTATATTGTAAAGAGCTGCGCAAACTGTTGGCGCTATATAAATACTATGTAATAATAATAATAATACCCTATGTCAAATCCTTACCTTCTGTAAGATGTAGAAATAAATGCATTGGCTTTGAAAAGAGCAAGCTACATACAGAGAGGCCACAGTCTTACCCAAGAAAGGGAGTGCAAAAAAAATGTAAAACATAGTTGCTATATAAAGTTCTAATAACATAAGTAACATAGTAGAAATAGTAGTTCCTTACTACGTGGCACAATGAGTATATTCTTTTTCTTCCAGGCGGAGCGATGGCCAGACACAGGATTTGTGAAAAAACTGCAAAGAAGAGACAATACTTTTTACTATTATAACAAGCAAAGGGAGTGTGAAGATAAAGAAGTACATAAAGTGAAAGTGTATGCTTACTAAATAAAGGACTGAAAGTCTACCAAAGTGTTTGTACATGATATGTTTTAGCTTCTTTGCTTTTTACTGGATTACAACTACATTGCTTAAAGGACACCTGTCATAAGAGAAATATGGGGGATGTCTTTGCTAATATTCTTTACAAATTGTTAGATGCCTTGCTGCCATGCTAATTCTATGTGTGTTTCTTGCTGCCCAAGACAAGTATGCTGATCAGGGGTTCTAATTTTACTTGCGGTATGCATGTTCTAAGTCAGGAACTCTGACAGTACTGAAGCCAGAGGGAAGTCGGCTATTGAGTACTGTACTGATAATTTTCTTTCAACTGCTTGCTGTCCGCCCGTTGTATATTAAGGGACGGACGGCATGTGCTTGGATGCAAGTTTTGTTTCTCTTTTTTTCCTGCGCACGCCCCCTAGCATGTGCGGGAGCAGGACACTGATACTTTGAAACAGCTGTAAACGGCTGTTGCATGCAAGCGCTCTACAGTCCCCTGATCGCTTTTATGCTGCGCGGGAGTGTGCAGGCCCCCCCTCCACTGCTCCGTGTGCGGGCCCAGGACCGACACAGCAGTTCTCTGCACTGAGATCAGAGGGAGATCAGCACACTTCCACCTGCTGAACTCCCCTCCGATCACTGAATGCGTAAGCGATGGGAACTCCATCACTTCCGTTTTCAGACATTCATTTTTTGGCTGCTGTAGCTGGAGAAGAAGCTGGGGAAGCAGGACTCTGCTTCATCAGCTTCTTTGGGTGTCTATTAGACCTCCTGAAGTCTCCATAAAGAGGACCTGTCACTGTAGAGTATATTTGCTATCACATAGTTGAAGATGAACAGCAGTGTATTAATAGCCAACTACTGTACAGTAGCCAGATTTAAGCTTGCCATACACTATATAGATTTATTCTGTTGGAGTGAACATAAGAATCCCCTCTGCTTCCCTTAGAATGCAGCGTACTAGCAAAGTAAATCACCACTTTGTAAATGTACCAATCAGCTGTAGTCACTGTTCGAGTATTCTGACAGCTGCGGGCGTCAGCTGTCTAAATACAATAGCTGGCACTTGAGATTCCCCTATCCACACTCTTTCGCATGGATGGAGGAATCAATAGATTTTTTTTAAATCGTAAGGTGTATACCTAACAGAACCCTGCTTACTCTCTTTTCTACAAGAAAATGCTTTTTGGCCCTTCACTAAAAGAAGTAATTGTGGGCACAAAAGGAAAGAACATTTTTCTTCCTTACAGCAGATCTATGTCTACCCCCCGATGATACGTCAGTCCTTTTATGACATTCAAGGGGCAACTATCATGGGATTACACCAGACAATTTATGTTGTTTACTACCCAACAATACCTTAAACAAAAGTACTGGTAGCTGAAACAAGACCCAATATGAACACTTTGTACACTCCGAATAAAGTTAAGCAAAGAAAAAGTTAACTGTTCCTTGTGTTGTAACAACACAAGTCACTGTGGCAGTGCACGCAGCAGTTTACTATGCGGCTAGTGTGAAGAAGCCCTTAGGGCAGCTTCACACCATTTTCCGGATCTAGTCCAGAAAATGGTGTGAACCTGCCCACAGTTCCTGTGCATTCAAGACCAGACAAAATGAGACATGCAGTATTTTTCTGGTCTGGTCTGGGACGGACTGCTCTGGTGTGATCAGAGGCTAGAAATAGCATAGGGATTCATTAGGATGCATTTTGGGTCACAATCTGGTCTGGTCTGGAGATGATCCGGACATGGTGTGAATGGGCCCTCAATGGGCCCTCTCCTGGAAGGGTTTAAATGATTATCAACTTCCTTTCTTTCCTTCAGTTGCTTAGTTCATGTGCATTGTAATAAAATGCATGCGTGCTGCATTTTAATGCAACTCCTCTCCACATTGTTGTGTTATGAACAAGACACGTAGAAAACTATTGTTTTGCAATGACTTGCATTGATCCGATACTGTCACGTACCTGGATGGAGAGAGCTGAGCATGGAGCTACCCTTGAACCTCTAGTCCAGCTCCCCTGGAGATGGTAACAGGCTCAATGAAGACTCAGGGAAACACGAGTGCCAAAGAGAAGGCCAGATGAAACTCTAGCTGGACCTGGAGTGAGCGGACTTGGATGAAGCGGGCACAGGTACGAGTCAAGAAAGTGGAATGGATGGTAGCTGCAGCAGATACTGTGGAGCACCAATTGACAGAGGCTGTATTGTCCAGAGCAGAAGATCGGGGTAGATGTTGCAGACTGAGATCATACACAGGACGGTCAACACGAGATGAGGTGCCAAGCTGGTAATCAGAAACGGAGTTGGAGTCACAAGCCGGCGGTCAAACACAGGAAGATCAGATGCAAAAACGAGGTGCCAAATTGGTAAAGGGAAGCAGGGTTGGTGTCACTAGACAAGATCATACACAGGGACTGGATCGGATTATGCAGGGAACAGCTGAAGACCGTGCACGCCTGCCAGTTAGCACATAGTCTTGGAAACAGGGCTTTTTAAATGACTATACAAACAATTAGGGCCCATTCACATCATCTGCGTTGGAGCTGCACTGGCCGTGGTTTTCAGCGCAGCCCCAACATAAGATAAGACAATTTGCCTTGTCACGGATGGTGCCGATTCACCCCACTGTGTTGCGGTAGGAACACAGTGGTGTGCGCTGAAAAAAAGTAAGGCATGTGACATGGTACAACCGCCTCGCACCCTGCTGTGCCTGTAGAACTGAATGAAATGTCACTTGTGACATTTCAATACAGTTCTAACAAAAAAAAGTACACAGTGTGATGTGCTAGGATGAGCGCTTTGGCAATGCGACAGGCACCACACACCAGATGTTGTGCAATTAGCGCCACATATGGTGAGAAATGGCCCTTAGGCCCCCATTCACACTAGGAGTGTTTTCAGGTAATTCTGAAGTGTTTCTTTTTGCTCATTCTTGCAAGTCTTTTTGCACATTTTTCAGGCATGAGCATTTTGGTTTGAGCCATGAAAGCTGGCTCACTAGGGTTATAAGACGTTTGTTAGGCGCAAAATTACACACACACAAAACATGTATTTTGCACGTTTTCAGGTGCTCCCTTTGAAGCCTAAAGGGTCAAAAACACACGATTTTGCTTGAAAAAAGGGTGTGTACTTTTTTCATTCACAGCGACACAGCGTTCAGACATGGCACCACTGAAAATAATAGGATTTTTCACGTTTAGCGTGAAAAAATGCTCAGGTGTGAAGTGAGCCTCAATACATAAAAACTTGAGCAGGGGTAGGCAACCTTGGCACTTCAGTTGTTGTAGAACTACAAGTCCCATGAAGCATTGCAAGATTCTGACAGCCACAGGCATAACCCTCAAAGCCAGACGCATTATGGAATTTGTAGTTTCATCACAGCTGGGGTGTAGAGGGTGATCCACCAATAACATCCATATTTCAGATATAACGGTCCCCAGGTAGGTTGATAACTATAAGCATCTTGTACAGGTAACACCTCCACCTCCCTCCTCTTATACAGCAAGCCAACGTGTCCATGTAATTCAACCGAAAGCCCGCAGCACACCAATCCCGCTACGTGTGACGTTAGGGGGCGTGTCACTCAGGTCAGCCGACTAATAGGAGAAGAGAGATTGCGCATGCCCTGTTGCGCATGCGCAATCTATAAGCTGTCACTGCCTCCGTAGAACATTGTGCTGGTCGTGGTTGTCTGGGTAACTACAGTATGTCTTAAAGTCGGGCTGGCAGCTCGTGGTGGCTCTTGGCTTGCCGTCGGGATGGTCCAGGTGAGGATGCATCGGTGGTGTTCAGAATGCAATCGCTATTCACATACACAGGAAAATAAAAACAAGAAAAAGACACGAGCATCAGACAGACAGCAATTGCATAAAGACAAGGTAGAAAGGCGGGGGAGTAGGGGGAAGAGTAGGGACTAAAGAATGTAGGGATAAGCGGGGAGAGGGAGGCGCCTTCTCCCAGGGTCACAAGATGTCAAACTACCTGCAGTTGTTTGTATTTGTCAGATTCTAAGAGCTCTGACCAATAAAACCATGTGGCCGAGAACCTATTCACTGTATCCTTTAGAGAGTTAGTGAGATGTTCCATATGCTTGATGTCGTTAACTCACTGGACCCATTGGCCTATGGTAGGAGGAGCGGACTGTTTCCACAAGACAGGAATGCATGCCCTTGCCGCATTCACCAAATGAATTAGGATGGAGCGTTTATAGCCCTTCAGGGAGTGGTCATTATGGTGAAGCGAGAAGAATGCCACCTCAAATGGAAGTGTGCGTTCCGTAAAGTATTGCAAAATGACTCTTATCTGGGTCCAAAAATTTGCCAATGGCGGGCAGGACCAAAACACGTGGAGCATGTCAGCCAGAGAGGAGCCACAGCGCCAGCAGGAGTCCGAAGCATCAGGGAAGATTCGGTGAAGCCTGTTAGGGGGTTCTATATCACCCTGTCAATGTTTTATAATCTCCTGGTATCTGTTACTGATGGAGGACTTCAGAGATAACTGGAGGATCCGAGATCGCTCAACGGGGGAGAATTAAACCCCGAGGTCCCGTTCCCACCCCTCAAGGAAGGGCAAGGACTGGTCGAGATCCGGAAGTAGAAACATTCGGTAATTCAGTGAGAGTTTTCGCCAGTGGACTCGTTCTGGTACATTCATGTTCAAAGATAGACAGCGGTCTAGCCAGCATATGTGGCGGGGGGAGGGAGGATAGGAAATATGACAGTTGACGTAATCTCCAGAATCCCAACCCCGACAAGTCCGGATCAGACGAGAGATCTGATTAAGAGGGCCATGCCGAGCCAGGGGGAAAATGTAGGGCTCTAAACCTATCCCTTGCTCCCAGATGGGTAAACACAGGGTCCTGGATGCCAGGCGAGAATTTGGGTGTCCCGATGACTGGGTGTAAAGGGGAAGGGGAGACTCAAAGGGTACACGTTCACCTCTCCAAGTAGGGCTGATAATGGGGTGTACCAAGAGGAGTCTCAGGATCGAGTGAGCACACCAAGGGAGGGTACGTAATGGGATAGCAGAAATGGATTGTTCCAGTGAGATCCATGCCTTGAGTTCCCCCGTGTCTACACCAGTCCAAAATGTGCGACCGGTGTACCGCAAGATAGTAAAATTAGACTTCCGGGATGGCTAAGCTTCCCTCCCGTTTGGGTCGTCTTAAGATGAAATGTTTATTCCTAACGGGCTTTTGCGACCAGATAAATTTAGTGATGACGGCTTGGCCCGTGGATACAGTGAAGTCTTATCTTCACATTGGTCTAGGGTAGTTACTTTTGATGGTACTGGTTTATGAAATAACCAGGCAACTGGGGTTTGAAGAAAAAAAGGTCAGCGGTATCAGGTTACATATTTTGTCCCTTTAGGGTTTCGTTCACATTTTTGTGGTGCATTAGGGATACCCATGAATTTTAAATGAGTTCCTAATGCTCCTTTACGCAAGATGAGAGGCACCAGCACCAAAACTTTCCAACGTGCAGCGCACCGTGCCCAGAGTGTTTGAATTTGTGGTAGTCTATAACAGGTGCATTGTGCTGCATTGTATAAGTCATTTGGGGTGCCATGGAAAGTGAATGGCATGGCGCCGCAATGCACATTTACTGTATCTGGGAATGAAGGTAACGTGTGCTTTATCGCTCGTTACCGCATTAGCGTGACAGGCCTGTTCATCGTGCCCCATTTACACCACAACAGAGGTATGATGTGCTGCGAAAAAATGCCTTAAAGTGACATTAAAGTCAAACCCCCCCCCCATGTTAATGTCAGCACTTACCTTTAAATGATGTCTCTTAATCCGATCTTCTTTTTTTCCTGTCCTTTTCATCTGTCCCTCTGATCCAGCGCTGACTCCTCCTGTCCTTGCTGGCACTTCCTGTCCCACGTGGTCTGCATGCGGGTGCCCGCGTCCATAGACTTACCTTGCGTCTCTGCTCGTCTCCCGGCCGAAAATCCAAACTGCGCATGCGCCCGCCCCAAGATGTATTGCGGCCGCCAGAGCATTTTCGGATTTTCGGACGGGAGTGCGCGGCGAAGACGGGTAAGTTTTTAAACCGCTTTTAAAGCAGTTTTTAAAAAAAAAGCAAACTTTTTGCATATATCTACTGCTTGCTAGCAGTAGATATATGCAAAAAAACGTGAGGGTTTAGAAACCCTTTAATGCTGCCAATATTTTGATAATAAAGATATAATCTTTTCATCAAAATGATCATTATATCAAAAGATTGCATCATCGCCTATAGTAGTATAAACCAGTGGTGGTCAGCTTTCTTCAGCGGCTTCTGACATCACCAAAGGTCCACATATAATATTTAGTGAATGTAAATACAGAAAGCTGTCAGACCGTGGACATGCTAAGGGAGATGGTCAGAGACCGTGGACATGCTAAGGGAGATGGTCAGAGACCGTGGACATGCTAAGGGAGATGGTCAGAGACTTCAAAAAGACCAAATAGGTCATTTTGTTGGTGTCGTAGAACAATTGTTTATGAGAAAAAGATTTTTGAAATGAGGACATCTGTAATCAATCCAATTTCTGTTTTATGTACAGTATATTACAAGTGTTGGGCCTCATACACACATGTCTTTCATGCGATGTTTATGGGGCCTAAGACCTTCTTCCATCTGCCAAGTACCCCCAGACATCAGTGATGGAAGGGTTTATTAACATCTCGGCACATGCCAGTACCCAACAAAGGGGTAGCTTTGCTTCACATTGCCTAGATCACTGGTAGCCAACATTTAGCCCTACAGCTGTGGTGAAACTACAAATCCCTTTAGGGCTGCAACCAGGTAATTGATTATTTGTTGTCAGAGGGGACACTGACTCCTCACCGCTGGGCACCAGCTGCAGGGGAGCTCCCTCAAACCTTCCCCTAACCTACTCTGCAGCTATCACCTCCCTACAGGAAGTCAGCTGCTGCTCTGGTTTGTGTCCCCTTCGATCCCTGATGCTCTCCCCTGCCTGTATCTGCAAGGATCAGAGGGGACACAGACTGCTGCAACTGACGCCTATCGAGGAGGAGAGACCGGCTGTCAGCCAACACCGCTGTGACTCTGCAACCCCCCATGCCCGCCCTGCAATAGCCAACCTGCTATTGGCTATTTCGAATTGCAATAGCAGGCTGGCTATTGCATCCACCCACTGTCTACTGTCAATCAGCAGAGGTGTAGACCTGAAGGAGATAGAATTGATTGTGAAAATAATTGTTACTTGCAGCCCTAAATCCCATCATGCATCTGCCTCTGAAAGTCATGCCTGTGACTATCAGAGTTTTGCAATGCCTTATGGGGCTTGTAGTTTCGCAACAACTGGAGGGCTGAAGTTTGGATTCCCCTGGCCTACAGTATTGAATATCATAGCTTCCCTTTTGGCAATAGCATTCAAAATGAAGGCGAAACCATTTCCAAAGTCCCATGTGTGCCAAAGTCTAAAGTGAGAACAGCTGCTCGTGTATATAGTTTGTATCGATTATTCAGTTTAAACATTAAGGGGAACATAGTAGGTAAGGTTGAATAAAGATACCGGTCTATCCAGTTCAACCTATGCCATATCCTTTTATATTTAGTGAATTAAGAAACTACTCCAACGGCTTTTTGAATAGCAATGCCCTTGTGTCATCAATAGAGTTTTTGGTGGATAATACTGACTGTGGACTCTTCATTTTTACTACTCGCACAGTAAAGAACCCCTTGCGCAGTCTAAGATTAAACCGTCTCTCTTATAACTTCTTGTTGTGCCCTCATGTCATTAATACAGCTCTTGGTGTAAACCTTTTTATTCTGGATATTGTGGTCCACGTTAATGATTTTGAAAATTCCAATTAGGTCCCTTCTTAAAGTGGACCTTTACCCATATCTTAAAAATAATAATTATTGCCGGCTTTGTATTCTTTGCATACCTTATTTCTCTTTTCTTCTGACAGTGGCCATGTTTACTAAGGGCAGATTACTAGCTCTCATTTTACTTCCTGGAACTCTGCCACATGTGACTAGATTTGTGACTAGGACATGTGACCAAGCATACCATCTCAGGGGAGGAAAATGCCTTTCCCTGAGATCTCCTGAGATTACAGATGATATTTCCCAGAAATGTTCTGCTGATGACAAGGCAATCCCAGTGTGCATTGCGTTGGAAAACTGAAGTCATTTTGCCCTTTCATAGCAGGGAGTGAATGCTCTGCAAGTGTAAGTATTTCAGAATCACAGCATTTTATACCTGACATGTCCTATGGTATTATTAATCATCATGCATAGAGGGGTGCATTGGTAGAATTTGATTTTTGAGTGTAAAGGTCCGCTTTTAAGCACCTTGTTTATGAGAGGGTAGTTTCACGCTTATATGCTTTTGAAAAAGCGTGTAAAAACATTGAAAACACGTCTTTTGGTTTGATCACACGCCTTTGGAATTCGAGATAATGTTTCCAGAGGGTGTTTTTCAGCTGAATCACAAGGATGCATTATTGATATGCTTTCGATTTGTTACCACAGTGCTCTCTTAGATGTGTCCACATGACTGCATAGGAATGGGTCCAGACATCCTGTTATACAATACGTTCTTGTATATGGTTCCTGGATGTGGTACAGTCAGGGAGGGGATGGAGTAGCCAGTGATTTCCAGGTACACTTTGCTCCTGAGCCATGGATGGGGGGCACACAGACGCACACTATTGCTGAATGAGTTATTGTGTATGAAGGAATATTTGATGTGACAAGAAAGTGTGTGTATGTATGTACTCCCCTGGCAGTGGGGCAACCCCTGCACTGCAAGGGTTAACTGCTCATTTTTGTCTGGAGGTATTCTGCAAAGGACTTTTACCTGATCCCCACTCATGCTGGCTCCAAGACCGGCACCGGCATCCCCCCCACCTTCCAGCGGTGGGAGGTCTGTGGACATCAACATGAAAAATGCAGCGCCCGTAGCCCTGCATTAGACATGAGGATGGCGAGGGACAGTAGACAAGCCAGAGCACTTTGGAGACATGCGAGTGCTGAGCACAAGTAGATCAGGTCCACCAAAGCAGACCTAGATGGAGTCCGGGGTAATCTGATGTATACATCCATTTACATCTGGACGCCCGCAGAGTTACAATAGGGCTTTTGATCAGATCCGCTTGAAAAACCGACAGGCAGACCTGATCGGACTGCCTTTCTGAAAGGGTCCTTTAAGAAAAACTCCGGGCAGAATTTTTTTAAACCCTTGCAGTGGGACTACCCCTGCACTTCAAGGGTTAACTGCTCAGTTTTGCTTAGGGTCCCAAAAGAAAAAGTTATCCTCACCCGAACTAGCAGCACATCCTCAGAGCTGGTAGTACTTGCTGCAGCAATGCTATGTCCCTCGGCATCTTCACATCCAATACACTGTATTACTAGACTGCTGCAGAGGAGAGGGAGAGACACTCTGGGGACTGGCCTAAGTGCCGACTGGCTTTACGGGTTTGGTGAGTGTAACCTTCTTTTGTTTTTTCCCCCCTAGGCAGAAACCGAGCAGTTAACCCTTGCAGTGCAAGGGTAGCCCCACTACAAGAGTTAATACAATGTGCCCGGTTTTCTCCACTCCCCAAGAGTGAGCTATTGCTCTTTTAGGCAAGCAAGGTTTAAATAAACATGATGAAATAGCTTCTACAGTAAGAGGACGGTTTGATTTATACCGCCATTGGTCACTACACCTTCTAGGTATGATGACGGCTTTCCACCCTTCAGTTTGCAGTATCTCATTATGTGTTCTTTGTTCTTCTCCAGGCAAGAAGTCACCATGAAGTGAACATTCCAGAGATTTTTCTGATACAAGTAGTGAGCCATTGGTGCTTCTTTCACAAGTGGGTGCGCTCTATGTACAAATCTAAATTCATACCATGTTCTGAAGGTTGCAGCTTCCTTGCTGTCGGGTGTATGCTTTAATACACGGAACACTAAGTTAATGACTGAAGAACATACTCCGTTTATAATGGAGGACTATACCACCAGGACCTATGGAACAGGTGGTCTGGACAACAGGCCTTTGTTCGGGGAGACCTCTGCCAGGGTAGGTACTTCATGCTATTTTTTGTGCTATTACGATGAACTGGAAGTGAACCTTTTCAGTAGCTTTCAATCTGTATGAATAAATTCATGAGAGGTCACAATGCACAGCAATGGAACTGGCTTTCAAATTCTCTGTTACTTATATGAAAGCCATCTGTGAGCTCCAGAAGAGTGACCTTACCTAAGAACAGATGATGACCTCAGTCTGTTGCAGGCAGGAGGAGCATTTTCTCAGTCTTTTATCCCTTCATGATCAGACTGCAACATTGTAACTATGTAGCAAGTCGCAAGGTGAGAGGCTGAAGGAGAGGGCTGATCTGTGCCAGACATTGAGACTTGGTCATCCCTGAACAAGCATTTCAATCCAAGAACTAAGGCCCCATTTGCACTTGAAATGAGCATCTTTGGGTGTTTTTTTTTTTTTTCAGGTGTTTTGTTAAATGTTTCTACAGGTGGTGGTTTTTTTTTTTTTTCCTCAAGCGTTTCAGGCTTGAGTGTTTTTATTTTATTTTCAGCCAATGCAAAGCTAGTTAGTGGGCAAAAAAAAAAACCCACTTAAAAACCTGCTTTTTCTGTGCATTTTTCAGGCACTCTTGTTGGAGTTTATTGGGCCAAAATGTTTGACTCTACTCCAAAAGAAGCTATTGGGCCAAAATGTTTGACTCTACTCCAAAAGAAGCTCATGTATTTTTTGAAGGCGTTTTGCTATAAGCTACAGAATGTTCAGGTGTGAACAGGTGCCATTGAAAACATTGGGATTCCTCTTGAGCTTTGTCAGATGGGGCCTAAATGCTGACCTTGGATAATACCTGAAACAAAGATGGCCCCATCCTCCTGAAAATAAAATCAGATGAAGGCATTGTCATGGGGAGTACCATGATCCCAATAAAACATTTAGAACTACCTCCTGTAAGTGTTAGACATACACATTACTTTCCATGCATGCACTTAAAGTATAAAGGCAAACCTTTTAGATTTGGACAGGTGAGGGGTTAGAATCACTGTCAGGTTGGGGTCCGGCCGAGATACTTTCTCTCCAATTGTCCTGATCACCAGTGTCACAGGGAATGTATGTGAGGTTAAATCCAAAATGTTGTCTTCCAATGGGGCACTTGTTTCTGAGGCAGCTGTCTAAAAGGGGGATATCTTTTACATTGAAAATATATCCTCATTTCCTGTTATGTCAACAGGAAGTGAAGGGAAATTTCCCTAAAGATTCCTCAATTCTCTGTTTATGTTAAATGTATGGAGAAACCATCAGCAGAGCTTTGTAATGGCTGCAGTAGTTGGATTCTTGTAGGTTTACCTCGCCACGTGTAGGTATAGAGAGCCTGCATGTGATTTGAGCTGCCAGCATAATCTTCAAAGTTTAAGGATAGATGGATAGATAATTAGGTCTTGCATAATTTATACATTACATCAGCGTTTTTCAACCACTGTGCCGCGGCACACTAGTGTGCCGTGAGATATTTTCTTTAATGGAAACATTTGGGTTTACTTACGTGGGATGATAAACTCTGCATGTTGATCTTACCTTGTTTCCATCTTGAGCCATTATGTTTTTTGCTATTTTTATTTTTGACCATGTTGGAGTAAGGGGTGATTTTATAACACTTTTATTGAGTCATGATTCCTTTTTTTATTCTTAATTTGCAGATTTATCATTCTTTTTAATCTCAATTGTTTTGAAGTTGTGTCTTTTTTGTCCATGTAATGTTTTTTACTTTTTAATAAAAAATCGGGAAAACCCTTCAACAAACGTCTCTGACTACCCTAGACCTCATTTTTTAAATCCTTTATTCCTTCAGTGTGAGGAATGGATTTGTGACTCTTCAGATTATTGCACAAGATGTTCTTGTGTACACAAAGACCAAGTCTTAAATGGCTTTCAAGAAGATGTAACCTAGAACACACAGATTTGAAATGTTGACGTAATGCAAGAAAACTTAAGTACTCTCCAAATAGAGTAGCACTTGAAATGAAATTTGTCAGCATAGAAGTATGGGAGCTGGCTTTGGGGATTTTGTTCTTCTTTTTATATGAGGGTGCACACTCAGCTGTTACTCTTATCCTTCCTTCACTTCTTGGTGAGTCATTGACTTGAATCAAGCATGTACATACCAGGTGTGGGGACACTACAAATGAAGGGAAGACAGGGACAAGGTCTACACCATCCCGCTGCCCCCCCCCCCCCCCCCGGGGGGGGGTGTTGCTACACACCA